TTGTAAACCAAGTAGCTTTTACCATGAAATAAACATACATATCACAGGACCTTGAGAGACTGTCTTATTCCCAAGGGACAAAAACAGAGAGATCAATGGTCCAATAACTTGAGAAGGATGGCCTGTTCCAGCGGGATAAAAATAATATCAACAGGTTGAAATCAGTTTACAAAAATAAGGGGAAGAAAGGAGGGTATGGATGAAAAAGGAGACTTACGGGGCAACACGCATGAGATCTCATTCCCTGATGAAGCTCAGAGGCTGATATCAAAAGCTTCATGGGACGGTACTCTCCTGTCTGAGACTGTCCTCTATTCTCTGCGTAGCATATAACTTGTCGCTCTCTCAGGTGCTCAAATCCCTGTCATGTCAACCATTTAGACCACCACCTTTAAACCATGGCATCTCAAGAGAGCTATAAACATACCCTTATGCAGACATTTTGTGCGTAGTAGTCCGAGGTTTGAAAAGAATCGTGTATCGCCTTGTACTCTGGAATACACATGGAATCTCAAATCATTTTCATAGTGGTGCAACCTGCATTTTCTCTTAAGCCAAATTTATAAATTACCTTTCATTACACTAATGAAGTTGTATGAGTTTTGCTCCTTCACTTCTAACCTCCTCATACATACCAGAAGATAAAGCTCCAGTACGGAACAATCTGCTCAACAAAGATATGTCAATTGATATTCCCAAGGAAAATGTATAAGCAACACCGCAGCTAAGCAAAACATATTCCTTAGAAGTCAGCTTATCATACCTCTAACGGCTTCCAGCTTTGGTTGCCTTTGCATCCTTGAAAGTGCTGCTTTGAAGTTCTCAAGAGAGAGGAGGCCAGATTCCAAATTCATTAAAGAAACAGCGCAGAATCTAACATCAAGAAATAGACTCAACACAGAGAAAATGATATCTTAAGGAAACATCTCAATATTGTAATCGAAGAACTTACATAAACTTCAAGAAACTGTTCACAGTAGAATGAGCATTAAAAAATGTCTTAAGTATGTCTTTAAATCTCCTGTCTGATGTTATATTCTGCACAGTAGGTGTTTTTTTTTTTAAATTGGTAAGTATCAGTTCTTCAGAACAAGAATCAACATCGTATCAGTTCTTAAGCATGTCATAGTAGTAGTTGGGAGTGGATATTAGAACCTTAATCTTATCATTGAACCGAGAAACATATCCACTGGGGAAGCTTGAGTCTGCTGGTAGAGACAGCAGATGTTCCAACAAACTAGAAACATAGTTCGTAATAGTTCAATAAGTTGATTGGAAAAATAGTTGACTGATTATTATAGAAAAGAAGGTTACCCGTCAAGTTCGTCCCTGGATGGAGGAAGAAACAGAATTTTTCTGTGTGAAAAGCGAGATCTCACTCTTTTCTCCAGAAGCTGGTCAGCGTCCTGTGGTGAGAGATTGAATATTATAAGATTTTGAACCAGAGTACTGTTAGCAACAACCAAAGTCAGCTGTCATCAAACATACAAGAAACAATTTGTAAAACCCAAAGCATGTATATCGGTATAGCCATGGTCATACCAGTCGAGAACTAATACCGATGACAACAGCTTGTGATGTTACAGATTGCATAGCATCCAGCAAACTGTATAGCAACCGCTGCTTTCCCTATATATATAAGCAGATGATAGGGTGAGTGGATAGAAAACACCAATGTGCAATTCCTTGGTTCATCAAAGGTTCTGCTCTACCTCCCAACGTTAGGATGGACTCTCTGTTGCTAAGTAATTTTTATCATAGGGAAAACGACATATAATACAATTAGCAAGTTAAAAGAAATCAGAATTCTTGCCTGAGCAAACATGTCAAATTCGTCAAGCACAAAGATGATTGTTTTATGTGCTAGTCCGCATTCCCTGAAACATCTCTATCAGTTTGTCTGCGTTAAATATCAAAAAGGCTCATTTATGTAAAGGTAAATATACTGACCGCAACATGGCTATTATGAAGTGTGAATTCTCATCGAATGATGCCTGGAAGTGCGACAGAGAAGCAAGCCAATTGAGACATTGGCTACACAGCAAAGAGAAAAAAAAAAAAAGAAAGAACATTTGGAGAGAAGAATGGTGTACCATCTTGGAGAAGAGTAGGTGGTGTTCCATGCACAACTGTCTGGCAATTTCCTGAAAAATCAATGTAAGTATTAGGTGTAAGTTTGTTTAGGAAATGAGAATGGTGGGCGAGATCAGACCTTAAAAGCACAATTATCATCACTATGCAAGAGTCCATTCAATCTGATCTGCATCACATTGAGATTGTAGTAAGATCATACGATGAGATTAGATAGAAGATAGTTCCAAATGTATTAGAAGTCAGACATACTACTGATACTGAATCAGGAAACTGCTCCAATAAATCACCTACAACGAGATCCAAGACCTGAAATCAACCCATTTTTGTTTTTTTTTAAAGAAAAAGACGAAATCAAACGCCAAGAACGGACGGAGAGTAGAAGGAAGCAGGGTTCGACATACAGCAGCTTTGCCAGAGCCGCGAGGGCCGAGAAGCAAGATGGAATTGTTGCATCCCTCCGTGATAGAGGTTGATACAATGAACTTCAATTTACTGTGTTTGTATTATAGTAGTTTAGGGTAAAAGCAAGCAAGCAAAATAATCGAAAGAAGCAAAATTAGACCTGTAATTGCTGTCTGACGAAGCGGAAAGAGGTCCGAAGATAAAACTAGGATCGCAGAGTCTCCCGCGAATCAGATTTAGGGATTTCTCCGCCGGAATCTCTTTGCCCATCGGACTGGCGGGAAAAAATGACACAAGCCAAGCGAGCGAGTGAGCAGCGAGCCTCTCTGTGAAGTGAACGGACATCACTACAACTGTAGTATTAAAAAACTTACTCTATGGGCCGTACTAATGGGCCTTTTAAAGCAATAAAAGGCCCAATCAAGCTCCTTTGCTTTCTCCTAAAACGGCGTCGTTTACATTGTGGTAGCAAGTTTTTTGGTGGAAGAAGGACTAGCAGAGAAAAAGAAAAGAAAAAGGATTGGGTTTTGGAAATATCAAATGTGGGCAAGGAAACTCGACCGGAACCAATCGTTCTCTTTGCAATTGCAAAGCATACGATACGAGCAGAGATGGGCAGCACAAGCACCAGTTCTGCTCTTATCCACCATTTCCCCCTCACCACTCGCAACTTGGCTTCGCCTACAAAGCAGCGTCCTCCTTACGCTGTCAATTTCTGCAATTCGTGGAGGGAAGCTGGACTCCGATACTCTGTCACGCAACGCCGGAGCAAAGGCTTTGGCCGGGTGGCAGCTCTCGATGATAATTCTGACGATTCACCAACCCCCGGCGTTGGCTCTGCTGTAGAAGACAGACCACCAGGTAATTATTATTAGGAGAAACTCCACTTCCCGGGTTGTTGATATAGTTAGTTAGTTAGTTAGTGATGAATTACACTGTTGTTGTGGCAGATGCATCCGAAGATAGATCAAGTTCGGTCTATGAGTTTCTCTATCCCCGTAAAGAGGAGCTCCCTGATGACAAAGAAATGACTATTTTCGATCATCTCGAGGAGCTCCGGGAGAGAATATTCGTCTCTGTTTTGGCTGTGGGAGCTGCAATCTTGGGATGCTTCGCTTTCTCCAAAGATCTTATTGTGTTTCTTGAAGCTCCCGTCAAAACTCAGGGTGTACGCTTTCTGCAGCTTGCTCCTGGCGAATTTTTCTTCACAACTCTAAAGGTCCTGAACTAGCTAATGATCAGATTGACGACTGATAGAGTCATCTGCATCTTAGTCAAGATATATGACTTCTTTTTTTCTTGTTTTGCATTGCAGGTCTCGGGTTATTGCGGGCTTCTACTAGGAAGCCCAGTGATCCTGTATGAGATTATAGCTTTTGTCCTTCCCGGTCTGACACGGGCTGAAAGAAGGTTTCTGGGGCCAATTGTCTTTGGTTCCTCCTTGCTCTTCTATGCTGGACTTGCCTTCTCCTACTGGGTTTTAACCCCTGCAGCCTTGAATTTCTTTGTGAATTACGCGGAAGGGGTGGTAGAATCTCTGTGGTCTATCGACCAGTACTTTGAGTTTGTACTAGTGCTTATGTTCAGCACGGGCCTGTCTTTCCAGGTACGTTGCAATGATAATATACATGTTCTACAGCATTGCTTTAGCCATCTTCACCTGGAATTTGGCTGCTTCTTGTTGGTTTACAGGTTCCAGTCATTCAGTTACTCCTAGGACAAGTAGGGGTGGTGTCGGGAGATCAAATGCTTTCAATTTGGAGATATGTGGTGGTAGGTGCGGTGGTTGTAGCAGCTGTAGTCACACCCTCGACAGACCCTGTCACTCAAATGCTCCTAGCAACACCGCTTCTGGGGCTCTACTTGGGTGGTGCATGGATGGTCAAGCTCACAGGTCGGTGAGAAACTTAGTTGTTCAAAGACAAATAAATCATGTATCTTGTAGAGTATTTCACACTTTCCGTGCATGAGACCACAGTTTGGTACCCAAAGTGTTTATCTGAACTTCATCTTCTTTGGATGTACAAATTTAGCAACCTAAAGGAGCAACAAGGTTAAGGGGAGGGGTATTTATTGTCGATTATATGATTCATGATAATTCACATTCAGGAGATGAAAGGTCTAATCTTTAGATGCTGCAATGGCTGTGTGCGCTGCACTCCATGAAAGTGAAACATACAAGTGATTCCATATTCAAAATAATGAAGAAAATTCAAACTGGACCAGCAAGTAGCATTTATACGTCTTCGTGTGCAACACATGAGCATAGGTCTAAACACCTAGTTTCCAGTATAGCTCAGAGCTTGAGAGTATCAAGAGCAAGAGACCACAATCCTGGTAACTACAAGATGAAGATATGATTATGACGCTGCAGAGGGAAGAGTAGTTATCAAATATCATTTGCAATAGTTCAGAGTGTAAAACCAAGATGATTTGCAACATACTCTCCTCTGAACTGCCGAAAAAATAATAATCAAAATAAAAACCACGTTCTGCACATATGCTAGCTAGCCCACGGTCTTAATTATCATAAACATTTCAGACTTCAATTGGTTGTGTACCATTCTTGCTAAAAATGTAAAATGAAAATCAAAGAACAGAGTGGCAACACAATAATTCAACACAACATTCAGTTCTTATGATGTGAATTAAACAAATACAATTTTCATTTTCATTTTCATTTGTCCAAGTTTTGCTCTCTTTTCTCATCTGATAACCTTCTTCCATCAGACTCGGATGCTGAATCTCTGTCATGTTTATGATGCCTCATCCTCCTCATTGCTCCATCTTCCTCACTTGAAGACTCAGCCAAATGATGCCTTTTATGTTGCCTTCTCTTCCTACTTTTCCCACTATCTTCTTCCGAGCCACTCGAGGAGGCTGAACCTCTTTTGTGCCTGTGATATTTGCCTCGCCTTCTTCTTCCACTCTCTTCCTCACTATCACTTGAAGTGACCAACTCACTGCGCCTGTGACGCTTTAAATGTCTTCTTCTCACATCTTCGGTACTGTCATCATCGCAAGTCTTTCTTGAGCTATGCCACTTGTGCCTCCGATGGTGCCTCAGCTCATCCTCTGACCCGCTTTCATAATCATCAGTGCTATCATCGCTCCTTTTCTGCCTCTTGGATTTCTTCTCTTTCCTCCGATCACTGTCATCTGAATCAAAGTGTGCATGTCTTCGGTGCCTATTGTGAGATCTTCTAGACTTTCTTCTCACCTCAGAGCTACTATCACTTTCTGAGCTAGATTCAGATGCACCCCTTTGTTTTTTCTTAGTGCCCTTTGACTTCTTTACTTTGGTTTCTGTGTCAGCTTTAGCATTGGCAGCCGCCTCTAGCTTCTGCTCCCATTTCAAAGGAGCTTCTTGCTTCTCTAGAACTCGTCGTTTCTTCTCCTCAACCATCTGGATGAACTTCTTGCAGTCCATTTGTATAGAAAAAGCAACTGAAAATCTGCATTTTGGTATGAAAATAACCAAAAGTGCATCTCACAAAAGAGAAGAAAAAACAATGTTAGCTCTTCCATCAAACGGTTCATGAGGCCAGTCCAGCCAAAGCACAGAGAGTCAACTACATGATGGTAATACAGAACGAATAAAAAACAAGAAGGGATCAAAACTACACTTTCAGCAAAATTCCAGTTGTTACTATTAGGGTTAAGCATTCCATGGCTAAAAATCAATCCAAACAAAGCACAGAGACTAACTAACTATGTTTTGTTGAAAGGGAAGGGATCAAAACTACACTTTCAGCAACATTCCAGTTGTTACTATTAGGGTTAAGTATTCCAACATAATAACCAATGCAAAGACCTAATAAGCTTTGAAACTAAAGCGATGAGATTCACTAAATCTGAACCAAACTTCTTACCTGATGCGAGTGTGAGGTACGATAATCCAAAAGAGGAGAGGCAAGCCCACAACAGATTACGAATCTGCAAAAGAGGGGCAAGTCAAAGAAAGTCTACGATAGCCTCTGGCCTGGAAAAAAGAAAAAAGAAGCAACCTATAGACGAAAACAAATCAACGGATTTAGAGAACACAAGACGCTATCAGCAGCCGAAACCGGAACACAGATCTGATAGATCGATGATGATCCGTGAGTAATAATAAGGTTAGATCTTAAATTTGAGAGAGCTTTACCTTTGAAAGGAACAGAGAGGACGCTAGGGCTTTGCTTCTTTTGAGAAAATTGCCTTCGAGTCGTCTCAATATTTATTTATATATACACACACATCTGGTTTGCGTGCCGTTTATGCACAAAACCAAAGCACAGCGTGCCGTTTTGTTAATATAGAAACCAACATTATATATATATATTAACACCAACATTATTCCTCTTTGAATTAATTGTTCAATGATTTCATACCAAACAGTTGAATAAACTGGACCTATAGAAAAATAAAGATAGAATCGGCTTCTTCGTTTTCATTACTTATTATTAATGACGCATCACAACTTCATACGAAAACAAAGAATGACAGAGAAACAAAACCGAGACGGAGCCCATTGCAATCTGGTTTGCAGTAGTAATGTTCAGCATCCACATCATTTTATATAACTCTGAAAACAAGACTCAAGTCTCCAAATTGCTGTCTTGTCATTTTAATCTCGCGAACAACTTAGGTCGACCTGCAAGCAGATCAACGATACAATTTTCCATCATAGAATGAAACTTTAGGTGTATACAGAAAAACACCACTTACACATTTGTCAACACAATGCCAGTAATCAAAATACTGCCCAGTGCAATGTTTGTGGCCAGACTCATCATCTTGAATTCTCTTGACACATGCCTGAACCACAACAACAAGCTGTTAAAATTGAGCCACACTCCAAGCCATGTGATGTGAGATAGATAAGCAGCACCGAAAGCAATCAACCTTTTTTTATGTCAAAAGAATTACACACTCGAATAATGCAAAACAAGGTTATGACTTATGACCAATGACCTATTCACCTGATATTCAAGAAGTGGCTTCACACATTTTGGTTTGCAAGATTCCTCAAAGTATCTTTTCTGATCAACATCTTCTTCTTCTGCCCTATAATTATCACCATCGAGTAGGATGGAAAATCAAAGGTTAGATAAGCAAACTAAGGTAATGAATGGCCTACTAACGAAAAATACGTTCACTGTAACTATGACATAGCAACTTGTTGTCAAACTCAAAGTAGGGCTGTTTAAGGGATGAAGCTAAGCTTCCCATTTTACTCTTATGAACATACACACACAGCTCTTCAAGATTTTATGCAAAGCAAGAAAATGGAGAGAGCCACTAAGTAATACCCAACAAACTAAACTATAGAGGATGTGATTGTCATATAAGACATGTCGATTGCTTCTTACCCCGTGTGAAAGATACAGCTTACTATGTGTCAGAATTCGGATAGTTGTTAGTCTTATTTCCAAATCCTCCTAGACCAATCAAGACGGAATACAAATCTTATCCGATAACTAGCGTATTAGAATTTAGAGAGTAGGAGTAAAAATTGCAAGAGATCTAATAACGCAGAATCTTATCCGATAACTAGCGTATTAAAATTTTGTGACAGAAGGAACTTACATGGCGAAATTGGAAAGAAAGCTTGACCTGAAATCTGAGAGAAAAAAAAAAGGATCAAAATTTATGTGAGTGGCATTGTTTTGTCGTAAGCTCAAATATGGAAGTATTCATATGATATGATCAGCCTACCAAAGTAGATAGATACTCAAGGAGGAACCCTAAATGTTTCGATTCGATTTCCTCCAATTTCATCGTCTTCTACGTCTGTCTAGTTGCCGTTTCTGTTCTGAACATATGGGCCTGTACCAAGTAAAATTTTATGTAGCCCGTTAATGTCCAACATCCTCAGGCCCGGTGTCGAATATAAAAGATACAAAGCCGAAAATGTAAGTCAGAAAGATGCCAATATTTCAAAGGCCGAGGTGGATATTTTTTTTTTGGTACAAGGTTAAATTTTATACCATTTTCTGAATTTTTCACTTTACAATGTTGAAACAACTTAATCAAACATTGTAAAGTGAAAAATTCATTTTAATGATAGGAGGAGGTATATGTTATCTTTGGGTTGGCCGTGGGCATCCTTGATAAATTGCATTTGCAGGTGTTTCAGAAGAAGATGATTCTCTGTTTCTTTGGATCTATCATTTCCCTTTGGTTTAAGCCTAGTTGCCTCTGCTTTTATTTTAAGAATTCGTCCTCTTTCGATTGTGGTTTGATAATTTCTGCTTTCTATTGCTAGTTCTTTTCGTCTCCCTTGTTAGGGCCTAGATTCCGGGGAAGTTTCTTTTTCCTCCAGCAGTGCTTCCGGGGACTTCAGTTTGTCCGCCGGCTTAAGTTCCCTTGTTTGAGCGTTTGTAATCCTACTCTGGTTTCACATCAAATTCAATAATAAAATTTCAAGATGACAAAAAAAAAAACAACTTAATCAAACAAAAGACAAGAAGCTAGAAGGGGAAAGAGATACAACCAAAGTAGAAAGCAAGTAAAGAAACCGAGGAGGAAGAACCCCCGGGAAAGAGAGGAAGCGGTCTCGAATGGAGCGATCCAAAGAAGCTTGCACAGTTGAGCTGGGAGAGATAATGGAGGTGAAAATCCTTGCGTTACGCTCCCTCCAAATGAAGTAACACGCCGATTGAAGAAGCAGCTTGATGGTGATTATAGCATGAGATTGAGCTGGAGCTTGAGCCTGCAAAATCCAAGAAGAGATGGAAGCGATTGTAGATGGTGGATTGATCAAGATCCTCGAAGCAAAAGCATGCCAAACAGTTGCTAAGTAGGGACATTCAAAGAATAGATGGTTGTGAGTTTCTAATCCGTTGGAACAGAGTACACAAGCTGCAGGGATATTCAGTCCCCAACCGCGTAATCTGTATTTCGTAGGCAATCTTCCTTTAAACGCAAGCCAAGTGATAAATGAGAAGCGAGGAACCGCTTCCTTGAACCAGACCACCTTACTCCAAGACACCAAAGGAGAGTGAGTTCGCAATTGCTCCCAAGTTTCCTTAGAAGAGAAAAATTCAGCAAAACTTCCTGACACACGACGCCATAGATAGATATCCTGACCATTAGAGATATTTGGAGGAGTAATGGTTGTTAGTGTGATCATGAGCTGTTGTTGATTCTCAGATCGAGCACCCGGCATCCGCCACTCTCCATTTCTAGCTGCCTCAGCAACAAGAGCTTCTCTCCTTACTCTCAAGTCCCTAGGCCCAGTCGCTCCTAAGAAAGAAATCAAAGGACCATGGACAGTCCAATGATCAAACCAGAATGAAGCATGATTCCCGTTACCCACTTCACAGCGCATAAAGTTAACAATATATGGTTTTAGCCGAATCATGTTTTTGACGGTCCTTGAGAGCCTCAGACTGTCTACAATGGTCCAATAGCTTTTCCTGAGGAAAATGTTACCTTTGAGCCAAGCTACCCATAAAGAGCCCGCATTGGTAAATAAGTTCCAAATAAGCTTCAGCTGAAAGACAATGGCAAAGTCCTCAAGCAGCCGAATACCAAGTCCACCTTCTTCCTTGGGCTTACAAACATCAATCCAAGCTACTCTAGACCCCGCAGCATTTGACACTTTGTTCTTCCATAGGAAAGCAGCACATAGAGAGTCCACCTTGGCATAAAACCTTTTTGGCAGATTGAACACAGAACTCCAAAAATTGACCATGCCATAAATTAAAGAGATAAGGCGTATTTTCCCAGCAAAGGATAGAAACCTTACCGTCCACACATGAAGCTTGTTGGTGATTTTCTCAATAAATGGCTGCAAGGTAGCAAATGAGATTCTGGCCGGGTTGAGAGGTAGCCTCAAGTATCTAGTGGGGAAAGAGCCAACACTTATTCCTTGCAAGGCACTAAGGACTGCCACCTGAGAATCCGAATAACCCCCGAAGAAAATCTCAGACTTTGAGGGGTTCACTTCCAGCCCACTTAACCTCTTGAAATGGAGCATAACCTTGGCAATACCAGTCAACGAATGCCTAGCACCATCAGAGAATAATAACAAGTCATCAGCAAAAAGAAGGTGAGTGACGACAGGGGAAGAGCATAGAGGGTGAAGCCTTATGTCCCCTTGCACCACAGCCTTTTCCAATAATTTCGAGAGCACCTCCATGACCATGATAAACAGATAAGGAGAGATAGGATCTCCCTGTCGAATACCTTTCTTGCATGGGAAAAAACCCGCAAGCTCACCATTAATTGAAATAGAGAACCTAGGAGAGGAGATGCATTCATTGATCCAAGTACAAAAGAGAGGTGGAAAGTTTTGAGCTGCGAGAACTTTCAACACGAAATCCCAACAAACTGTGTCGAAAGCCTTTCTAATGTCCAACTTGAGCATGCAACTCTTAGGGCAGTTTTCTTTTTGGTAGTTTCTGATTAAATCTGAGGCAAGTAGGACATTTTCACCAAGACTTCTCCCTTTTAGGAAAGCAGCCTGGTTTGGACTGATGCAGTCTTGAAGAAGAGGCTTTAGACGGTTGGCAATGATCTTCGAGATGATTTTATAAGTCAGATTACAGCAGCTAATCGGGCGATAATCTCCCAAGTGGCACGCTTCAGGCTGCTTCGGGATAAGAGTAATTGATGTGTTATTGAAATCCTTTAGAAGGCGCCCATTCCTGAAAAATTCCTGAACTGCTGAGATAACATCAGCTCCTACAGTGTCCCATGATGCTCGATAAAATTCCACAGAGAACCCATCAGGGCCTGGACTCTTGTTAAGTGGCTTTGCAAAAAGTGCTGCCTTAACTTCTTCCGCAGACACCAATTTCTGAAGCTCATGCTGTTGAGTGTCATTGCATCTAAAAGAGAGAAGAACCTGCAACTCAGAAATGGACACAGGAGAGCTAGGCATACTAGTGCTTCCTATGATACCTTGAAAGTAGTCAGCCGCATACTCTTTTATTTCTGTGGTCTCAACAATCTTTCTATCAGTAGCGTCTCGCAAAAAATGAATATGGTTTCTTGCAGCACGTTGAGACACACACTTGTGGAAATAAGCTGTATTCCTATCACCAAGATGCATCCACCCCACTCTAGATTTCTGTCTAAAAAACTTCTCTTCCGCAGAGATAAGAAACTGCCAATGAGTTCTGGCCAAATGCTCTTCTCTAGCCGAGGTGGATATGATACATACACTCTTGTGATTCGTGGGCAGAGGTTGGAGTGGTTTGGTTGTGACCTGTGAGAAGGTTTCCCGGTGTATTACAAGGTAAACTGACGGAAGTCCCTTCCAAAAAGGAGGCTCTCGATGAAAAGAAAGCTATAATGATTGGAGAATTAAAGAGACTCTTAAAGCCAAGCAAGAAGAAAGAGAATAAGGAGGTGGATGCTTGGGAATAGAAAGCTTGCAAGTATTAGAAAATCACTTTCGCAAGCTTTAGACACTTGCCATGGATGGTCGATGGAGGAACTGATCACCTATCTTCAAATATGTAATCCAAAAAGAATAGTCTCGGGTCCCTTCAAGTAAGTATTCTGAGACTGCTTTTGCATATTCCGGTACCATCAAATGGATGCCAGGCCATCTGCTCTCGCATTGTAACCGAATCAAGGAAATCAATAACAAAACCATCTCTCAATTCTGGAGCAGGCAGTTCTGAAATAACTCTCACATGCCTGCACCTCTTACATGCACCCCCAGCAGCAAATCTGGAGCTTAGGATTAAAATAAGCAAGGAAGCAGCACAACTATTTGTACTCGTCGATTCAACCAAACACAAAGCGTACATGAAATAGAAAAGAGAATCTGGCAGAGTTTTTTCAAAGCAAACCTCAAATAAATCACACAACATTTTTTGATATGTAGCATGCGGATGAGTGCATATATCTCTAATTGATTAACAGAAACGAATGCAATTTAGATTGGCCAAGGGATTGCAGCGTGAGTAAATTACTGATTAGTATATTTGGTAAACAAAAAAATTGTTGCTTGTAGAAACAAAAGTTTTCCAAAAAAGGCAAGGGAAGGATGGATGATCTTGTTCCATTTCTATACCAGTTTGGCTGGATCTTTTTTGCAACTGGGAGTAGTCAGTACAAATATATATATAATATTATGTTACAGTTTTGGAATTAGACGCTGAGGCCATCAAAGCCACATTGCTTGTAAATGAGAGCTTGCTTTCTGGGACTAATGCCTATCCCGCAATTCACGGATACCTGCAATGCATGTGAAATCTTATATATTAGCAAGCAGAGTGAATCTTTATATAACTGTTGTTGATAAATTATTAGTACTTTAAATCAATAAACCAGTGAAAGGAAGGCGATGGTGTCGTTTGTTCGTAATTTACACCTCAAGAATAGCTTTTAGGTGGTGGCATAGACGTGGATGATCCTAGAAAATATCAAAAGTGTAGGAGAAGCAAAGGCGAAAAGGAAAGCATAGTGGGGACAGACAGAGCATGACTAGTGGTGTAAAGGAATCTATTAACTTAACTTAACAGCTTCTTTTTTGTTTTTACCCTTATTTTTTACTCAAAAAGTGTATGTGTGTGGTAAATGGTAATTTCTTTCTCAAAAGTAAGTTAGTGTGTTCACACTAGGCTGGTTAGGCCAGATCCCCGGGCGAGAAAAAGAAGGGAGAAGAAGATGGAGAACCTGAACTCCCGGTGAATCGAAATTCATGACTCGGATCTTAGCCCCCACGTCTCCGCGGACTGTGAGCTCCACTCTGTCGTTTAAGGAAGCGTCTCTGACGAGATCGGCGGCGTGGGCTTGCATAAGATTGACTCTATCGACGGAGATGGTGGCCTCCACATTCCTTGTACTGTGCGCATCCTGGTAGAATCCAGGCACCGTCGCCCTCCCCAGTGGCATGCCTTTGTACATCACCGTGAAGCTGGACTCGCCGTACCTGATTCCGACCTTGTTTGGGTTGACGGCGGTGAAGAGCATCCGGATGGTGAGGGAGAGGGAGGCGGTGGTTGGATCCAGAACAGCGCTTGGGTTTGAGATTCCCATGTACACCACTGCCACTTGCTGCAGATCGAACTGCGGCTTCTTCGGCTTCACCGCCAGTATTACTATGAGCACCACCGCCAGTACCAGCAGCGCCAGGAACGCGAACAGCAAGAACAAGCAGCAGCAGCATCCCTTCAGTGACGCCGACGACGACGATGAGTAGCTCCGGTAATACGGCTGCTGGTTCTGAGTAGCAATCGGATGTCCGTTAAGGCCTGGCCTAGAACTAGAAGGAGGAGGAGGCATAATAAGTGAAAGCAGGAAGCTCCCTCTCCCTTTCCACTCTCACTTCAATCTTCTGTAATGGCGGTGTTGTGTTGAACAACAATAAGAGAGAGAGCGAGAGACCCCTGTTTCCGTGTCTGGGCACTACTAGTACTGACAAATTAATAATATTACCAATTTTTTAACCACCAATAAACTATCAATAATGTAATTTACAGCAATTTTAGGCAAATCTCACACTCTTCCTCATCGATTCTATTCTAGACAACACCGGGCTGAGCTCAACAGACATGGATTAGAGATGACTCAAATGTTGGATCTGATTTAAAAAAAAAAAACAAATACAAACACACAGTTACTATCCTTTTGTTACATCATATATGTATTACGTCGTAGCTTTGTTGCTTTGTGCTATATAGCTGACCTCTTGCTGATATTTATACTCCCGTCAACTCATGATCAAACATAGATGCCAAGTCGTTTCTTTACACCGACTCTCCTCACTCTCTCTTATCTTCTTCAACATCTTCTTCTCTGTCCGACTCGGCATTCTTCTCTTGCTTAACTAAGCTAATATCACCATCTTGCTTCCCTCCTGTCAGAGATTGAGCTTCCTCGTTTTCTTCATCCACGTCTCCCGAATATGCATATCTGTCCATCATTAGTTTCATATTAGCATCCCTATCACATCCAGGAACAACAAAATTGGACCAATACATAAGAACCACTAGCATGTTAGCCTAGACTTCCCACAAGACTAGCACAACATGCTCAGCTGAAACCGTTTCCATTCCAGCTCATAAAACCAAGCTTATATGTTGGTATGCCCGAGAGGGTATCAAAACCTTTAAGTTGAGGTAACATACCTTTGGGAGTTCTGTGAGGGGGTCCAGAGATAGCAAATAATACATAGCAACAAGAATGCAATAACATCCCAGAAGGCAGTTATAGTCCAAGCAGTCTGCCATCGTTCATTGAATGGATCTGTTGCTTTGAAATACACCTGCACGGGACAAATAACAAATCATCAGGCAAGCTTGGGTATATTCCAAGAAAGAAGGAGCTTCGTTTTTCCTAGCTTGAAATCTAGGCCAGTTTTAGTTGAGCAGTTAATTTCCTAAAGTAAGATTTGAGTTTACTAAATCAGGCTTGACAGGATGGCACCTCATACACTATCCAAGCAACAGAGGCAACCACCATTACAGCAAGAGCATTTGAGAACTTGCGGTAAATTTCCAGCTTCACCGAGGTCCTTTTCATCTGCGCAAGAATAAGTAATAAAGAATTTTATAGCTAATCTGATGAATCTTGCCTCAAAACCCTTACAACTTACAGAGTCTGATGGCTAATTTGGAAAGAAAGAGGTACCTGTAACTGTTCCAGTGTTTTGGAAAGAGAGGTAAATATCCACAATATGAGAAATGCATCCAGGAAGGCGTCAGGAAGGACAAGAAAAAGTTTTGATCTTCCGGACATATCGTCAATAATGCCAACGTGCTCAGCTATATCAAGCATCTCAGAAGCTATGAAGTAAGTAACTCCAACAAGGAGGACTTTAGAAGTGAGACCACCAAGAGTGGATTTGACAACCCCAAATCCCATGGAAACACAGAGAATGAGAATGCGGGAAACAGTCTTTCTGAAGGCACCAATGGTAACAACCCATGTAGTAAGGGCTAAAGGCCTCATCCCCGTGTTGTTAAAATTTGCATAATCCAAGTACCAAAAGAGCATCTCAAGCAATCCGAGAAGAATGACGGCAGTAATGCAATGTTGAAGTGGCAATATATCCATCCGGAACCTCAAATACTGGAAGAACCAGACGGCACTGAGCAACAAATAAGCGAGAGACATAAAGACATAGAAATTCATGAGTGGAGCCATCCTACCAGGAAGATAGCCGTCGGGATTTTTCCAAACAGTCTTTCCGGTCATTGTGAGGCCCTTGAGTTGTGGATCACAAGATATGAATAAGAGATTATAGATTCCAGTCTTGGTGATAAGAATCTCAGTGTCTTCCATCTTAGCAGACAAACGTTTTCCTTTGAAGCGGAGAGGTAAGAGGATAGGCCATCTAGGGTCATGTGCAGAAGGAATCCTAATGATCTCACGCTGCTTACAACCTTGAAGCTTGGCCAGATCTGGAGTGCAGCAAATAGATCTTTGGCCGCCGTAAGCTGAACCACCGATATTGTTACGATCGGAGGCTTCAAAGATCACTGCTTGAACTAACCCATTGCTGCGGTGGCCTTTATCGGTAATTGTCCTCCAGAGAGTGATGTTCTCAAACCTGCACGAGGACCGTCGACCAGTGAGGAGGATAACGTAGAGTAGACAGCAGCACAACAGTTGAAAATGTAATGATAGGGCATACCTGATGAAAGATCGGGGAGAGGCGAAGATGCCCTCGCTGCCACCGTAGAGGAGGAGAGAATTACCGACATCGTGGAAGGGCTGGGAAGGGTAGATGTGGGCGGAGGCCCCTGCGATTTTAAAGTGGAATGATAGAAGAAGTGGGCACAACAGCAGAGATAGGTGGATCAGTTTTCTCAAATCCATTATCATCGGGGAACGAGGCGATGAGGCGGGAGAGAGAAGAGAAGAGAAGAGAAAGCAGAGCAGCTGCAGAGTCGCTGTCTAGCTGCTGACTTTGGTGGACCAACCAACTTAATATAATATTTGGGCCTTAGAATGGTTTTGGCCCATACCGAGATGTCCGGCCCACCCAGAAATGCAGCAATAGTCAATGCCACTGCTTGGAATTCGTCGATCGAGCGATAACAAGTCTGGGAAATTTTTTGAGGAGGACTCTGCTGCATCGCCGCCCAGTGATCAACCGGACACAGTAAACTAGTCTATAACACAAAACCTAATTCAGATTAGATTTAGATTGAAGAAGAGCAAGTTCCGAAAATGGAGGGGCGTCGTCTGATTCTTGTATAGATCCACCACTCACAGGTTCGTAGATTCCATAACCTTGGATTTTATTATTTTGCTTTCTCGGCGACAAATTCCTCCGATTTTAGTGACCATGTCTCTGATTTGGTGTCAAACCCAACCTGTGGTGGATCTGCCGGAGCAAGTCTTAAACTTGACTTGACTGTGTTTTGTACCTAATTCTGACTGCTATTTCCATTTAGGAGAAATCCTTGTTTCCATTTCTATCTCACTCTCTCTCACTGCCTCATATGATTTCATTTTCTAGCTTTGCCACAACTCATTACTTTCCCTTCAACGTGTTTATATCTTAGCCCTGATGGAAGGAGACAACGGCGGCACCAATTCTAGTCATGCCTCCAAACAACGTTTGCGTTGGACGCATGAGCTTCATGAACGCTTCGTTGATGCCGTTGCTCAACTTGGTGGCCCTGATAGTAAGTTCCCTCTTTCTTTCTTTCTGGCATGCCTTCTTGTATAGTCTATGCTAAATTAGTAACTCATGTTTTCCTCATCAATATCTGTGGTAATAATATGCACACCAATATGATCAAATTGCTCTTCTTGTATGCCAGCATGTTTACTACTAGTCATGACAGGGAAAGCTTATCTGTTTGCTTAGGGTTTCTAAATATTTTTCTTCCTTTAATTTCCAAAGGAGCTACACCCAAAGGCGTTCTTAGAGTGATGGGTGTACAAGGATTAACTATATATCATGTCAAGAGTCACTTACAGGTATTCTCAAACTGTGTGGCCTCTTGTCTCGTCTCTCTTTCTCTTATCCGTGTATCGGTCTATGCATCCCCAGTTCCTTTCTCCGCTGATTTTTTGCATTTGTGTTTTTGAGTCAGAAATATAGACTTGCAAAGTATCTTCCAGATTCGTCTTCTGAAGGTAGTGTGGACATTCATTTCCTTCAATTTTCTTTCATTCTCCCAGTTGCCTACTTACCTGAAGCTTGTATTTTCAAATTTCAGGGAAAAAAACTGATAAGAAAGAATCTGGTGATATGCTCTCTGGGTTGGACGGCTCGTCGTACGTGAAATTTCATTCTTTGAGCTTGATTTGTGATGCTATATATATTACCTGGTGCTTCAGATTAAGTGATCAGTATATCTTTTCGAGATTACAGGGGAATGCAGATAACTGAAGCCCTCAAGTTGCAGATGGAAGTTCAGAAACGATTGCACGAGCAACTAGAAGTATGCTTCATCATACTTACTTAAGCAAAAACGAAACAATTGGTCAGGATTTCAGTGGGGCACTTAATTTGCATTACATATGACATTCTTTGATGTTTTTTTTTTTTTTAGGTGCAAAGACAGCTGCAACTACGGATAGAAGCACAAGGGAAGTACTTGAAGAAGATAATTGAAGAGCAACAACGACTCAGTGGAGTACTTGGCGAACCCTCAGCCCCAGTAACAGGCGATTCAGATCCTGCAACCCCTGCCCCAACATCTGAGTCTCCTCTTCAAGACAAGTCTGGCAAGGAATGTGGACCAGACAAGAGCCTCTCAGTTGACGAGTCTCTCTCATCTTACCGGGAGCCTTTAACACCAGACTCGGGGTGTAACATTGGGTCTCCAGATGAGAGCGGAGGAGAGGAGAGATTATCAAAGAAGCCTAGATTGGTGAGAGGTGCAGCTGGTTATACACCTGATATTGTAGTGGCGCACCCAATACTAGAATCAGGCTTGAACGCTTCTTACCATCCGTCAGACCATGCTCTCGCCTTTGACCAGCCATCTACATCACTGCTTGGGGCCGAAGATGAGTTGGATAAGGGTTCAGGAGATAATCTTTGAGTTGTATCACATGGCATCTATTGAGTGTACCACATGTAGTGTTGTCTATCCTAATCTTTATTAGTTAGGACTTTCCTCTAGTGATGTGATCTCAACTCTGTAATTTTCTAGGCACTGTCAAGAGCATGAAGAATGAATATGTCTGTGTTGTGTTGTAATTTGGTAAACACAACAAAATTACTCTTATTCCCAACACACTGCATTCTTCTAAAGCTACTTTATCAAAACAGTAACGCATGAGGCATTTATACGTACATATTTTTTCCGTTTGTTGAAATGTTAAATTAATAAATCAACGGAAAAAAATATATACATAGTTTTGATAAGAAAAGATGGAAACGTAAAGTAAGCTGAAAAACCGAGCATAATAGCTAGCTAGGAGATGAGCTAAAGACAGAGCATTACAAACCATCACGTCAATTAAGCCAACCAAGCCAACCAGCGT